TTCCCAGGCCAGCCGAGAGACATAGTCCCTCCAGCGTGTCCTGGGTCTTCCCCGGGGCCTCCTCCCGGTGGGACATGTCCGGAACACCTCCCTAGGAAGGCGCCCAGGAGGCATCCGAAACAGATGCCCGAGCCACCTCAGCTGGCTCCTCTCGATGTGGAGGAGCAGCGGTTCTACTCTGAGCTCCTCCTGGGTGACCAAGCTCCTCACCCTATCTCTAAGGGTGCGCCCGGCCGCCCTGCGGAGAAAGCTCATTTCGGCCGCCCGTATCCAGGATCTTGCCCTTTCGGTCATGACCCAAAGTTCATGACCATAGTATATGTAACTAATCCCAGTAACAGTGAACTTTATGGGTAATGTTCAAACAAAGGAATGTAGTCATCTTAAAACTAATAATTTTCCTGTAACTGGTTTAAAATATTTTGCCTGTTGATGGCACAAACCTGCATTCCTAAACCGCTGCTGTGTGTTGTTGTGCCGTCAGGTGGTGCAGGTTGTTCTGAAACTGCTGACACTGTGGCTCTGACAGTGTTTGGACCTGGTTTCAGGTGCTTCAAGTAAATGACACTGTGTGCATTTTTGTTTTCATTGTTGGGACACCTTGTCAACCTAATGTAAACCTCAAGGCAGCTTTCTCTCTACCAGCTGCTCAAGTGTGTAAATGATTACTGACAAACTCCAGTCTCCTTCATACAGGATGGCAACAAAATGGTTGAAACTCTACACGACAATCCAGTTCTTTCAGATACCTTTCTCTTACAATATATTCTTTGTAATCCACAATGACATACAGTGTATATATGCTTTGATTCCAGCAAGAGCTGTTTTCTAAAACCCAGCCCTACATATCAGACAACAGGGAGAGCCTGACTGTGACTGATGAGTTTAAAGAGTTGATATATAGTCTCAGACGAAAAGATTAGAAATGAAAAAATACTTCCTTCCTTCAAAAGACAAAGTAACGGCTGGAGTGACGATTGATGTGATATTCTGAAACTAAACTGTGCTTAAATTTTAATGCATATTCCACTAATTATCATAAATAGTTACAGTATTGTGTAAAATCCTCACATTTGAATACTGAATCCTTCTGTGGATGATCGGGGAACTAGCTGTTGTTATGGGTGCTGGGTAACGCCTTTACCTGATGCCAACTCAGTCTGATCTACAATAGTGATAATAAGTTTACTTTAATGCTTAGTGGAGGTGGAATCTGATATGACTTATTGCTGCTACTGTCTATTGCAGATTTTCATGCAGTTGTACAACACAGAGAACAGATTCTTTTTCCATTTTCATATTTCTCTACACAATGCTTATGGAGACATTTTGCTCAAGCTCAAGTGCAGTAAAAACATTATTATTGATCATTTTTGTATATTTGTATATGGCTGCAATTAATATTACAGAAAATTGCCTACAACACTGTTTATCACAGCCAGAGCTCCTTTGAAAAAGCAGTTGTAAGGCTCAGTGGGATTTCCCCGGTTAAATAAAGGTGGAATAAAAATAAAAATACTGGAAAAAGTAGGGCATCGCTGTGCGACGCTGTTGTGTGCAGCATGTAAAGCAGGGACAGATGTTCGTAGGCATGGTCGTGATGGACAGTCAAACACGTCCCTGCCTACTAATGCGTCACTACAGTGTCACTCCACATAAAATGACACTCAGCAGCTACAGGGGACACTCAGAGTATAAATAAACAAGTAAACTGTCTGACACACTTCTATCTTTTATAACAGTGAGCATCTGCCACTGTGAATATGTGTTGCTTGTTGGACTACTGAATTTCAGTAATAACTGTAAACACCACAGACTATGACTATGTAACCTTTGCAGTCAAACTGAGCTCTAGTGTACCTGATTGACGCCTCCCACCACCAGGAGGCGGTCTCTGATGACGATGGACGAGGTGGAGCAACGGGGGAAGGTCATGGGAGCCAGCATCTCCCACTTCTTCTTCTGAGAATGAAAGGCCTCCACTGTGTCCAGTGCTGAGGGCTCATGACCTAGCGAACGCAGGAGGACACACACATGTAGACACACATCTGACATATATCAAAGCCTTTTAATTTTCCTTCATGTCCTACCAGAATGGCATGCAGGGGTTTGCTCACGTGGAAGCATATATTTCAGAAATCAAGTGTATTTTTCTGACTTTCTAAAATTTGGCATCATCAAAAAAAAAACCATGATCAATTAATTAGCCATGCTAACTCATTACGTCCATTGTAGAGATTCGAGGAAATGAGAAGCTGCATTAAATGATGTTTTTGGGGCAATGAGTTAGCCTGAGAGAATCAGCCTCAGAATGAGCATGATTTCAGTCAGGATTTCAGGATTTGATCTGGGGTAGCCATTACAGCTAACTACATACTTCTAACTCAGAGATAAGCGTGAAAAATTATTTGACTGAAATCACGTTCACTCTCGGAGGCTAACTGGTTGTTTACACAGAATATTGATGGATGTGACGATGTAAAAAGCAGAGACTTTTAACTTTTACTTTTAATTAATGTAGACAAAATGTGACAGCCTTCCTTTGCATTATGATTATGAGTCTACACATTCTTCTCTGTCTTCTAGTGTACAATATGTACAGGTCAAATAATTAAATTACTGAATTCGACTTTATGATTTTTTAACCTTCTAAGCATAAAATGTTAATCTATGATACTAACTGTAACCTACAGTATTAAAATTGTTTCCTGTATTAGCATACACATGCTCAAAAGTGAACATGTTAAATAAGTATTCTTTGGTTCATTGTTGAGTGCAAATAATTAATAAGAGGTCCACGATGAGGTCAGAGAACCTTTATGTCAGCACAGAGGAAATGTGACAATTTTAGCATTTTAGTTTGGACACAGATTTCAGTCCTAAACTAGTATCTCCCTTCTACATATACCAAGTTTGACACAGCTGATGAGAAGCAACTGAGGTGTACTGAGAACTTCAGCTGCTTCAAGCAAACCATATGAACACTTCTATGTGCTTACATCTGTCAGGTTGTTCGGACATGAATCATACCCCATTAGTCAGAGGTTTTCATTTACTACTTGTTTCTCTTACCAAGACCTCCTGCTACTACCATCCGGCCACGCAGGAACGCAGCAGCAAAGTCAGCTCTCTTTGTTTTCATTGCCACTGTCTCCTCTGACTTCAGCCAGGCACCTACAGAGGAAAATGACAGCTAGAGTGAGCAAATGTGTGGGCGCACAAGCTTATAAAGTTTCTGAGGTGAAGTCCCATGGAACTGTTGTCCACCTTCAGCTGGACAGGATGCTGCTGAGCTTGTTTTCAGAGTGTGACCTGTACAAACAGGTCATCCACAAGGCAGCTGCAGTCAGGACATGCACAGTACGACACACACACACACACACACACACACATAGCAAGGACACACAAAGGTTACAGCAAACAGTGACTACAAACAGAGACAGGGATGGAACAGGAGGGTTGGAGTTAGGGTCAGACTACTACCAGGGAGAGAAAGTTAGTTTGCGGGCACATGCATTTTACAAGTGAACTTTAACAAAACAAAAAAAACACACAAAAAAAAGCTGGTGAATAATGGGAGATCAACATTGGCAGAGTGAAAGATGCCAGTAGATGTCAGGATCACCTCAAACAGATACTGTATCTTTGTGGGACTGCTTCCTATGCTTCCTGGACACATAACACCACACAGCTGGTCAAGAAGGCCCAATGGCGGCTGTACTTCCTGAGGAGGCTGAGGAGGTTTGGCATGTCACCTAGGATCTTTTGCAACTTCTACAGCTGCATCATTGAGAGCATCTTGACCAGCTGCATCACTGTCTGGTATGGCAGCATTACTGCTATGGACCACAAGCGCCTGCAGAGAGTGGTAAAGACTGTGGAGAAGATCACCAGGACTCCACTGCCCTCTCTGCAGAGCATTTATCACCGCAGGGTGCGTAGGAAAGCTGCCTCCATCCTCAAAGATCCCACCCACCCCCAGTATGGACTGTTCACCTTCCTATCCTCTGGCCGGAGGTTCAGAAGTGTGACATGTAGGACCTCCAGACTGAAAACTCTTTCTTTCCCTCTGCCATCAGACTCCTAAACAGCTGAGGAGTTTATTATCAGGAATACGTCATGTACTGTCGACCTGTACTGTTTACATTCTCAGTTTGCACATGTGTAATTGCACATTCACCGTTGACTGCTGCACATGCTGCTCCCATGCAGCATACATTCTCTATTATATTCTTATATATTTTTATTATATCTCTTTACTTGCTGTTTTAAAGTGCCTTAGATAGATTTTGTGTTACTTATTTATCTACTTTAAACTTCATTTGTATTTTGTGGCATTCATGTGGACGGCAAAGGAATTTCATTGTACAGGGAAACACGTTTCCTAACTGTGCATATGACAAATAAACATTTTGACTTGACTTGACTTGACTATTCACAGCATGGAAATATGAGACAGTCCTTACAACAGCATCAAAATACAACAAGCTACAATTCCTCTGAAAAGCTTCATGAAATCATACTGTTAATAATAGACTATAAGTGTAATAGTGTGATATTAAATGAATGCATTAAATTAATAACAAGCCATTATATGTAAATTCCTCCATAATCCTAGGTGGAGTTTATTTGGACTTTTTAAAGGTGCAAGTTAATACTTCCAGCATTTACTGTATTTCCTGCTATTTCAATGCTTATTAAATTTAATGTATTTTACAAAACGCACTGCAGATGTTGCTTTACAAGTTACTTTAAACAAGTGTAAAGTAAATGTACAGCATTGTGTATTTTTACATTGTGGAATGTCCGTTTAATTTGTTTACATGCATAAATCTGTCATTTAGAAACGATTTTGGTTGGGCTGCTGGTAGCTTGTAGTACTACAGTGTACTGTTGTTGATGTGTCTGTAGCTGCTCATGATATTGCGTTGGCACAGAGAAGCAAGAGACCCTGTGAGTCTGTCACGTCCGTGACCCGGGCCGCCCCCTGTATCTCGGTGGCAGGCACAGGTAGTTCCAGCAGCTCCGCCCCCCCATAGAGCTCCCAAGCGATCCTGGGACAGCACCGCCAAACCACATTGCACCGCCCAGCTACCAGCGCTGCCACATCGGGGAACCCACACACCGGACCCGGGATCTCTGGCACCAGCCTCCCCCTCCCTGGACTACTCCCTGGGCCTGCGGTGCGCTCAGCTATTCAGCGAGTTACGCCTCTCTTACACCCTGGGAAACAGTAGTCCAGTCAACCCAGTGTGCCCAGCTGCCCTGAGATCTGCAGAAGAGACCAGCTCTGTTGTTTTGTTTGTTTTTTTTGTTTGCGACGCATTAAAGACGTTTTCCTTGTCTAGCCTGGGTTCGAGTCTGCATCATTACTGGGTCCAAAACCACTCAACACACGGCTTACCGTAACAGAGTCCTTTGTTTCCCAAAACTGCAGGGAGGTTAATCTATTTCCATGTATGATGCCTTGGTTTAAAGTGGTGACAGTCCTCATGCTTTTTGTCCACTATATGACACAGCACTGGAAATCCACATTAAAAGTGAGACTTGACCATCCTGTCAGTGCTACTGGAAAACCATACCGACTCTGACCTTCAGTCAGCCGTCTTTGTCCTCAGAACGAGCTGTCTCAGCAGCTCCTGAGGAGCTGAAAGGACAGCAGCTCCACTGTGCTCACCAGGCTGATGGCAGCAGAAATTAGCTGAATAAAAATGCTGAATCTGGAGGACAAAATCAGCATTGTTTCTATTACTGATTCATTGATTTTACTGATTAACCCCTCCCTGAGTATTGAGTGAGAGGAATATGTCTATAATGAAACCAGGCACATCATACGAGAAACATTACAAAATGATTGTATATTGTGTTTGTACATTTTAACCAACTTGTTCCAATTTGTATTGTGAATAGATACTGGCATCAGTGACCTTCCTCTTATGCCTGGTTCAGACTATACTTTTCTGTCTGATGAGATGGCCATTATGTCAGATTACATGATTATCATAGAATCTTGCCATGACTTAGATGGGGAATATGAGAGATGTCACTTTGTTACGCGACAAAGTCTGCCTGCCTGTTGTCGTTCAAGACTTGGGTGAAACAGATGTCAGAGCTCGGGAGAATGTAAACGCAGAACAGCATCTGAAGCAGTGTGTGTGATACTGGCAAGCGAAAGAAAAAAAAAAACACTGCAGACCCATATGTGGGTCACATGAAAAGGGCAATATGGGTTGTATTCATGGAGAACATGAGGTACTGTAGTGGTTAAAAATAAGTGTTTTAAGCCGGTAGTAGAACCAAAAACTAGACAGCTAGCCCTGATAGGGTAGCTACTTCACAAGGCTGACTGAAAGTCAGGTTGCTATTGTTAGCTGTATGATATTTCAGGAATATGATTCAATCCAGTATGCCAAAGGTGTTGTGAACAGAAGAGCAATCTGTGCTCCTATTGGTCAGCGTCACCTCAACACGTCATAGAAGTAGAAAAACGTCCCACATGCAGCATTGGTCATCATTTACTATGATACACTGCAAATGAAATAGGCATTATACACATAAATTGGGCAGTCAAATATTTTTACCAGACTAGGAGGAGCTTTAGTTGGAAGGGTGTAATGCAAGCACGGGTAAAAAACTCAGGGTCATCTGGTCAAAAACTTTGGCTGCATCACAATTTTTTGTCATCTTACAAGGCTTGGCATTTGACAGTCAGATACATTCAAGCACATATTTCTATGTCACAATCATTGTGATGAAAGATGACATAGTTTACGCTAACTATTAATTTGAAATTAAAAAACAAAAACTATTTAAAAAGTCATGAAAACCCCTCTATGAGTATTATAAATGGCTGTGCGGCATTTTGGCATCATAACCCCTCTATTGTATTTCACTCTTTTGCTGGGACCTACACACTAGTGCTACAGTGCAGCCGTCACTGTTTTCACTCTGAATTTGGTAACATACACAGTTGTTATTTGCATGTTTCCCTCAGATCCCAGATATCGCAGCCAGCCAATAGGAGCTGCTAGTACAGTGAAGCATACATCATCCCTCAACTCCTTTCCCACCCAGAATATTGCTACTGCCAAATTTGAAGGCCCGCTGCTGGGAATTGAACACAGGTGCAGCGGTGAACAAAGGCTTTTTTGTATTCACCAGTGAAACAGCTGTTGGCAGCTTTTAATCCCAAAATATGTGGAAATTACATTTTAAAAAATCTGTCAAGCCGCAGGTGTGGAAAACATTATAATTTTAATTTAATCTCTTTAATTACCTGACACTTAAGACTGACAAGGAAGATTGTTTTTAACAAACCTCACGTGGCCCTTCACACTCAAAGCTGAAGCAATTCAGATGATAAAAGGTGCATAACAAAGTAGAGGAAATGAAAAGAAACCTATCAGCATAACGTTTCTCTTTCCGTGACAGATTCAGCAGAATTGTTCTTTTTCTTTTGGCTTTTGTTGCTGCCAAGTCTTGTTTATCTGAACGAAACCAAGACTAGAGAGTATCATGACAGAGGAAGAAAGATATCGAGAGCGGGGGAGTGGAGAGAAATAGAAAGAAAGATCAAGAGAGCACAAGAAAAATCATTTGAATATTGCTCTTTGTTTTATTATTTCTCATACTTGTTTTTCCATTTTCGTTGCATTCATTGCCTTATTTTTGTTTCATTTATTTGTTTCCCTCTCATTTATTCTCAATCATTTTCTTAAACAAGAGGCAAAAACAACAAGGTCAAGAGAAACAAATAAAGGCAGAGAAAATGAAAGAACGATAAGTAGCCAGATGGTGAGCCCTCCTGCATGCTGCAGCAGTGTGTGATGAAGAGCTGTGTTTTCCTTTCCAGCCTGGTTAAGTTACAATGAAGGGCAACACAGCAGAGCCTCACAGCTGGCCGTCCACTCTGCTCTTCTCATAGGAAGATCCTGTCTGTGTGCACTTCACTGTTGTTTTCTTACCAAGCTCTAAAACCCTGAAGTACAGAAGCATCAAATCCTCGCACCAATTTGCATCTTTTCTAAGATTTCAGACAGTAGGTATTTCTGGTCCAGTTCAGGTGCTTGTATTTAGATAACATTTAACATTTGAACAACTTTGGCTTCTTTTGGTAATAAAGGGTTGTTATATTTTCTTAATGCAAAGTATTGAAAGATGTAATTGTTTTAGTATTAGTCCCAAAACTCAAATATCATATACTAGTACTAAAAATTTCCAAGTGATACCCAGCAACTAGTATTTAACTTCATCTAATCTGTTTCATCTATTCTACTTTCCTACATTTTCTGGAATGACTTTCTTAAACAACTTCCCTGAATCAGGATGTACATGCTAAGTATTTCCTTAAATTCTTGGTAACTGCTAGCTAGTGTTGGAAACTGGTGATCTACCAAATGACTGTATGTTGCTCTAAACTTACATAACTGCTTAAGAACTGTTGTTGCTGGTAAATACTGGTTTTTGTAACGTTGTCTAATTGAAAATCTGTGCAATCAAGCAGCCAGTGTAACAACACTAAGCCCCAGAAAAAGTATTATTTATTCTTGAGTCCAACTGGACATTTGTGCCAAATTTGAATAAATTCTCTTAAGACGTTTCGAAGAAATCATGGTTACAAGAATGGGAAGGATGGATGGACGGACAACCCGAAAACACAATGCCTCCAGCCATGAGGCATAAAAAGTGACAAAGTGATAGTCACGTTTGCTTGCTGCCGTTTTGGGTCAAAACTGAACAAACATATTAAGTGGCGGACTGGAGTGCAATACACAAACAAGACATCTTATCCACTTCTCTCTCTGTTGTTATATTTCACCAGGAAGCCAAAGTGTTCCTAAACGCAGAGAACTTAATTGTAAGGGAAGCCCTCCTAGCTCTGGCTTCTCATTTGCATTGGCCAGAGGCTGGTGTCTGGTGTGTTGCTGCACTTTGGTCCGCCACGTAATTTATTTGCGTGGGAATGCAGCTTTGAAAAAATGTTCCAAACTCAAAACAAGCCGACTGTTAACTCCTATTAAAGACTGAATTTGGTATGCATACATGTGTACAAATACGTGTACCATTACACCCCTGCTGTCAACACATTACAGTACAGATTTATTGTCCAGTCTTCTGAGACTGAGTTGCGACTGCAGGCCTGATTCTTATTTGCTTTGAAGAGATTACACAAGTCTTCATGCCAAGACTTTCTTTGTAGGATGCAGGGAAAACAGCAGCATGCATTATTCTACTCTGGAGGGAGACAGTAGAGGAGAATAAAGAGATGGGTAAAGAGAAAATACAGAGAGAGAGAATACAGACAGAGAGAGGGTGTGACAATAGAATGAAGGAGATGAGGCGATCCTCTGAAGACCGAGCTTTGTAGTCTGTGTGGTGGTGATTTGGTTCACAGCTCTCCTTTGTAATTGTCCCTCATGATTGTAACTAGAAAAGGATGGAGATAGGCTCTCGGACCTTTATGGATTCTGTCTGGCTGTCACGTGTGAAGTCTCACACACTGCTGACCGCACAGAAGGCCCCTTTTGCACAGAATCTCTTCATACAATGTTGCAGTATTTTTAATAATTCTGGCCCACAGCCTTGTCCAAAACAAGCCCGCATTTCTTTTATTCTCATTTCATTTCTTTTTTGCTTTTGTCATCTCAAGCCAGGCATAAATCAGAAATACAGCAATATGCTGCTAGTTGGCCCCAGGGGGACTGCATCATGTGTGGTTTTTGTTACTATTGCCTGAGTGCTGATTGCTCAGGCTTGAGGGAGTGATGAACGTGCTTGTTGTTAGACGCTGACAGCAACAGAATTCATTATTTCAGTTGAGAAAAGCAACCGAAATAGAAATTTTAGTGTTGGTTGCCCCAAATCACAAAAAGTATATGCCTGCTTTTTTGACCAAATACTTCCAGGTAGTAAAGAGCCACAAGAAATAAAAGATCCCTTTGTGCTTGCTCTAGGGGGATTTGTTGGGTTTTCTCTATGTGAAGTGTCTTAAGATGATTTTTGCTGTGCCATAGATTTTGATAAGTCTTTTTTGGAGAGGTAGGGTATGGCCCACGGAACAATAAATCAGATTGGTCATCCTGTTTCAAAAAAAAAAAAAAAATTAAAGATTGTTCACCATTGTGAAATGGGGCTGATTTATCATTTTCAGTCACATGATTTCACTTCCCTAAATACATGTTTTCCTTGTTTCCTGTCTCCTTGTGACTAAGATGCAAGAAAAAGAGGGAAACTTGGATGCAATTAAGGCAAATGACATATACCCATGGCAACAAGGTGGTGCATTTGTCACCTCACAACAGGTTCCAGGTTCAAACCTCATGGTCGACCAGGGCTTTTCTGTGTGGAGTCTGTATGTTCTCCCTGTGCCTGCGTGGGTTTTCTCCAGCTTTGTATCACAGTAGATAGTCACGTTAGGGTTAATTAGCGACTCTAAATTGCCCAAAGGTGTGAATGAACATGTTAAATGATAAGGCTAGTCATTTTCTATTTTAACAGTATTTTCAGCCCTCCTTATACACTAACTAAAGCCAGCAGTGAATTGCCTCTAGACACTCTTAGTACCTGTCGGTCGATTTGTCTGTACCCTAGACCTCCAATGTTGAAAAATGATTAAAAACACATCAGTGACACACACCACTGAACTGGGTGACTTACAGTATTTCCTCATTATGAAACACAAGACCCTAATATTTGTTAAAAATATCCAGAGATCTTGCTTACTTCAGACACTGTAAAAAGTTATGATCATTCAGAGCCTTTTGGATAACATTTTTGAAAATATTAGGATACCTACAGTATTTACAATAGAAACTGTACATTGTCATTTGGATTTGTCTGTGGTTATACCTGTATACCAGTGGAAAAGTTTTGGTACGCCTGTTTAAGAGGGCTTCTGAATGCATGCACATTTTAAAGCACAGAAAGAAAGTGATTATCACATTCTTTGCACACAAACAACAGCACTACACCTACATGAGAAGCTACTTCAGAGACTGTAAAACTGTCATTAGCCTTTGGAGGGCTTTGTTGAAATAAGGCCGACCTCACATTTTTCATGAAGAAGAAATGGCGGTATGTTTTTAATTGTTTTTAATTAACAACAGTGGCATTTTATGCACAACCTAAAAGTTGCTAAAAGGTTACTTCTCATCTCTTCAATTATCACCATGTGACCACTGACTTCTATGAGTAGCTTTCATTTCACAAGCAATACAAAGAGTGCCAGATCTTATTGGTGGAGGTTCTTGAAGTCTGAGAAGCCAAGGAGATACTTCAAGTACAGACTGAAATTATTACATTATTTATTATTGTAAATGATTTCTCATAAATTATCAGGCCCCTATCAAGAAAAAGGAATGTGAAATTAATTAAGTTCTATTTCTCTTGTTCACTCACCCACTCTGGAAAATGGGCCAACTCTGGAAGAGTGTTCAGCCATGCACAGACCTCAAAGCATCTGTATGGCTGGATGACACTAGTAATTTGAGTTTTCTTAAGACAGTTTTTCATTCTAGGTGTTAATCTTCTTTCACAGCTCCATTCTTTGTGTTTTCAGTCATACTTTTTTCAGCTTGCCAACAATGGTGAAACATCACCTTACAGGCATGTGTCTTAATATTGGTGAGATGGAATGGAACAGTAATAGAATATCACAGTGTGACAGTAGATAGCATGACCGTGTGTGTGTGTGTGTGTGTGTGTGTGTGTGGAGAGATATTGCTGTAGATGGATAATGAAGCAATCTGTTTCTGGATCTGGTAATTTCTTTGCAGCTCATCTGAACCAAAATTAGATTGCACAAACGGGGTAAGGCCGCCTTCTGCGTGTGTGTGCATGTGGATATACATTAATATATGCATGTGAAGGTCTTTCTTTCCACCTTTCTTTCTCTATCTCTCTCATACATGAGGCAATCTTTCTCCCCATTATCATAGATTAACAATATCACTCCCATGTTCTGCTTTATTTGGCCTTTACCTGACCGATCGCGAGGTGTGACCGTACAACCGGCTGTCTAAAATGACTTATCGATTTTTGCTCTCCCATTTCTCCTTGTGGTCCCTCCTCAATTTGTTCACCTGTTACTCCGGGGTGTCTTTGCCGAACAGGGGGATAAGTCATTTTGCTGAGTTTGGGGACAAAAAGTGTGCACAGATAAGAGAGGAATGAGCCTGTTTGAGTAGAAAACCATTACTCTTCATGGTGAGGTTGATGTTAATGGCTGTTTTGTATGACAGTAAAGTCATACTGAAGATGAATGCTGTCAGTGAAAAAGGAGATGATGAGACATTTTCTGTTATTAATTAAAACATGTCTGTGTGGGACATGATAGGTCTCTAATCAATATCAAATGTTAAAGGAATAGTTTAAATGGGAAATATCCATATTATCATCTATGAGAGTGAGACCATAAGACTTAACCAGTCTCCTGTCTGTGTATTAGGTATGTAGCTGAAGTCAGGTTTAGCATTAGGACTGGAGGCAGGGAGCAAAGTCTTGCCTTGCAGGCAAGCTAAGTGTCTGGCTGATTGAAAGGGTAGCCCACCCATTTTTCACTACACTCCCATAATATTACTGGACATATGAAAAAGGAATCCAAATCCATGCAGCAGAACTACTGAAATCATCTTTTTTATTCCACAAATTCTTAATTGTCAAAACTTGTTGCCTATGTTACCCATAATTGCTGGTGATGCACTGCTTACAAGTGAAACACTCAAACTTAAGACAGCATATTTGTGTGCATGCGCGTGCCTGGTATCACTCACAATCTTGGGACATTCACACAGCGGAGACTCGGCCTTCCTCATGGGGACTGGTAACCTCCATGTAAATCATAGGATTTTAGAACTGGTTTAGGGTTAAATCTCCAAGAAATTAATATACTGTAAGTCAATGTAAAGTCCCCATGAGGAATGAAATCAAGTGTGTGTGTGTGTGTGTGTACAGCTTGTTTGTGTACCTTGATTAGTGTCAAAAATGTTGACGTTTTTAGTGAACTTGGAACTCTGGTGTCCTCCTCCCTGCCGCAGCCCTCCTAGAAGACACATTCTCCCAGCTGTGTCCCATATGACGCCCCCATATGAACGTTTACATGGTATCATGGGTAGCGTAGTCCAAGAACGTGTCTCTGTGTCATACACTTCCAAGGCTTTCAGTGGTCGTTTACACTGACGACCACCTTAAAGATTAGGAAAAAGAATTATAATTAATTACAGTTAAATAAGAATCATTATTGTTTAGATGTTTATAGAGTGGGTATTGTAACCAAGAGAAATAATTATTGTCGTGTAAAACACAAAGTGAAACTATTGTAGTGTGAGCACCAGGGTATAAATTTCACAATAGCCATATGTACAGGGCTGTCACTGCTTTCACATTTAGTCCTAAAGCCCTCTATATATGTAGGATGGCCCTCATCAGATCTGACGGAGCTCTCGACTCTCGTCAGCATGAGTCACTCCCGGCACTGAAGCTGTGCAGCCGCAATGTTTTATCGGTAATTTACAAAAGCTTGCTGTTAAACTCCAGTCTACTTCAGACTTGTGTATGGGATAAGGTGCTGCCACTGTGGTGAGTTGTTCGTTTACATTAAAAGATAACCAGGGTGCAAATTACAAGGGGGTTCAACCCCATAATTAAGACTTTGACCTAAAAAAATAAAAAAGTAAAAATAACAGTTTCGGAGTTCATCGAGAATATTTACATGTTCTGTATAAATGCAGTCATACATTGTAATAGTTTCACATTTATAGTGTCACATGAGTGATTCTCAGCGACAGGCTGGAGCACAGCCTCCCTCTCATCAGCACCCTCCTTTGGCAAATTTCCAGACTGATGACAAATGAATTAAAAAACAAAGAGCAAGAGGTGACTGGTGGTTCAGGCAAGTGATTATAGGTTACAGATGTAGATTTATTTTGGAACTATGAATGTCAATTTGTTATGCTTTAATTAGTTTTCACAGTGCAGTTATTTTCTGAAATTTTAGATTTTATGTTTTTATTAAGTTAAACCTTACTTTTAAAATGTACAGAGGTTCGTACCTCCGTTTCAAATGTCTTTATTAGCAAACATTCATCCATCTGTCCATCGGCCTTAGTGCTCAGTAAAATGACCTCTGTGCCCTTTGAAAATGTATGACATTAAAGACCAAGTGGCCTCGCCCTTTAAACTATGAAATGTATGGCTTGGTGAACGTGCCCACAGTGGTCTGCTTGTACCTGCCACATAGAGTTTGTTGCCCAGCAGTTCTGCGTTGGCATCATAGCGTGGAGTCGGCATGGGAGGAAGTTGAGCCCACACGTCCTTTCGAAGGTCATACTGCTGCAGGATGTTACGAGGTTGCAGGTCAGCACCCATTCCACCCACAGCCAGAGCTCGGTTATCTAGACACACACGAACACACAGAGTTAGAGCTTCCACCTGAGTCTTTGATGTATACAATATATTGTGAGTTGAATTTGCAAAGTGGATTTAACCTGTTTAGTCTGTAAGATAAACTGTCTGTTACAACACTCCCAAAAATGCTGCTAAAATTAGTCTAACAATAACAACTTGCTCAACAATAATTGGCTTGTGAAAGATTAATCCCAGCTGATGGAAACACCTCATTGGCACTTTATTTTATGAAGTGCCAAAAATCTTCTAGGCTAGACAGTTGGATGAGACGTTAGCTTGTGATGAGGCAAGAGACTGTGACAGACACAGGGAGGACAGGGAGTACAGCAGCAGAATAAAAATGCAAGAGTTGACGTCTGGCACTTTGGTATGACACCTCTAGCATAAGAATGGAAGTGGGAGTGAGAGTGCTAAAACAAGAGACAATGCAGCATTAATCAACAGACTGAAGAGGAAAAAGTGCTGCAGGGAAACAATCTGCATTTTTATTATTTTTACGTTATAAAATTTTTATGTTTTTATATACAGTCATATATCTCTGATCCCAACCTCGGTGCAAATATGGTACATAAAAAAAAATAGGGAAAAAGGTTTCCCATATACTCTGTATTCATTTTGAGGAAAAGAAAAGCTCATTACCTGAAGTTCATTATCTAAAATCTGGAAAATAATGATCCCACAAATGTCAATAAAAATGGCATTATTTTATCAATTCAGTGACCGACTAGCCATTTAAAAATACCATATTTGTTTTAATTTGGCCCTATTGATCATTTTGTCAGGCTATCTGTCTCTTTTTCAGCTACTGGGGATGAGTTCAGGGATGGAACTGCAAGCAAAGGACCGAGGATCGAACATTGGTCAAGGAGATGGAGAGAGCACCACAATGAAGCCAATAAGTCTGTATATGTACAGCATCTATCTGTGTTCCAGCAGACAATGACGGATACACCACGGGACTGAACACACACGCATCAATATCTGAAGAGATTCTCTATGAAAAGACAATTTATTTATATAGACTACTGGATAGATTCTCAAAATGTGAGAATAAATCTGAGCATGGGGACCTGAAAATTATCTCCATTGATGTCAAATTGGAAAACCTGCTTGGAAGACATTTCAATTTAAAATTAAAGTGTACTGAAGTGTTGTTTTAAGCGTGATTCATATAGTATGTTGAAAAATATCTGAAGTTCCCTGTGAAGTGCAGTTACTCTAATCAACTACATTACACTACACTACATATTGATTAACTAAGATTTTATGTATTGTCTGATAAATCAATTGAAAATGGAACAGAACAAGTGCATATTTACCTCTGTTATAGTAGCCCCCCCCCCCATGACAATCTGTTTGTGTTGTTATTCTACAATCTGTACTCTAAAATGTCACATTATGGACCATAAAATCTGCCACCTAGCAAAGATTATTAGAAGCCTTTTCAAACTTCAAGTAGTCAGCTCAAACAGGACAGAGTTGGAGAACCTCTTGAAAGTGGCTGCCAGATCAAAACTGTCATGTTCGTTTGTACAGAGACAATGACAGAGTGAAAACTACAGTTAACATCCGATTGTCTTTTTGAGATGGAAAGTACTAAAAACAGCCAAAAAGTCTCACATTTGATTAAGATGTAGCATTATTCCTTCTGGATATGTTAGCATCTAAGGCTACCATGTTTGCTGTACTAATATTAGCAACCCACTATGGTCTTGATTTTACCTTTGTGTTGAAATAATATAGTATTAATTTGGGAGTAATTCAGTAATTCTGTTGCATCAGCAGTAGCAACCTCGGTGCAAATATGGTACATAAAAAAAAATAGGGAAAAAGGTTTCCCATATACTCTGTATTCATTTTGAGGAAAAGAAAAGCTCATTACCTGAAGTTCATTATCTAAAATCTGGAAAATAATGATCCCACAAATGTCAATAAAAATGGCATTATTTTATCAATTCAGTGACCGACTAGCCATTTAAAAATACCATATTTGTTTTAATTTGGCCCTATTGATCATTTTGTCAGGCTATCTGTCTCTTTTTCAGCTACTGGGGATGAGTTCAGGGATGGAACTGCAAGCAAAGGACCGAGGATCGAACATTGGTCAAGGAGATGGAGAGAGCACCACAATGAAGCCAATAAGTCTGTATATGTACAGCATCTATCTGTGTTCCAGCAGACAATGACGGATACACCACGGGACTGAACACACACGCATCAATATCTGAAGAGATTCTCTATGAAAAGACAATTTATTTATATAGACTACTGGATAGATTCTCAAAATGTGAGAATAAATCTGAGCATGGGGACCTGAAAATTATCTCCATTGATGTCAAATTGGAAAACCTGCTTGGAAGACATTTCAATTTAAAATTAAAGTGTACTGAAGTGTTGTTTTAAGCGTGATTCATATAGTATGTTGAAAAATATCTGAAGTTCCCTGTGAAGTGCAGTTACTCTAATCAACTACATTACACTACACTACATATTGATTAACTAAGATTTTATGTATTGTCTGATAAATCAATTGAAAATGGAACAAGACGTGATATCTCTCTGTTATAGTATCCCCCCCCCCCATGACAATCTGTTTGTGTTGTTATTCTACAATCTGTACTCTAAAATGTCACATTATGGACCATAAAATCTGCCACCTAGCAAAGATTATTAGAAGCCTTTTCAAACTTCAAGTAGTCAGCTCAAACAGGACAGAGTTGGAGAACCTCTTGAAAGTGGCTGCCAGATCAAAACTGTCATGTTCGTTTGTACAGAGACAATGACAGAGTGAAAACTACAGTTAACATCCGATTGTCTTTTTGAGATGGAAAGTACTAAAAACAGCCAAAAAGTCTCACATTTGATTAAGATGTAGCATTATTCCTTCTGGATATGTTAGCATCTAAGGCTACCATGTTTGCTGTACTAATATTAGCAACCCACTATGGTCTTGATTTTACCTTTGTGTTGAAATAATATAGTATTAATTTGGGAGTAATTCAGTAATTCTGTTGCATCAGCAGTAGCCAGAGCATTCTACTGGATTGCCAAATTTACTCATTAGCCAGCTAACACTAGCTTGTAGGCTGACTTTTGTACAGTTTGTCAAACCAGGCATCCGTAGTGCACATTATAGCTTTAGGAAACAGGAAAGGAGGGGCAAAGACAGCTAAAGTGGCACTTTTAAAGTTGTAATTACAAAAAAGTTTAATGTTACAGAAAATGTAATACTTTTATTTGCAGGGGTACCTGATGCATCGTATTTCCATTAAGCTGGGCACTCACAAGGGACAGTTGAAAAATAACCCTGATGGTGGAAAGCTTGCTCTAGGGTCACAGAACACAGTATACAACTGTTTGCAAAAGTGCAGTAGCACTCTGTGCCAAACTGAACCGCAAATGGATTCCAGTGGAGTGCCCCTGTAGCGTAAGACTTCATAGAGCACAACATCATAATCTGAACTCAAATACAGACCACAAGTTATCAAGTAAAGATTATCAGCTGAGGTGGGAAATATTTTCAACTACAAAAACTTAATCTGTTGTCTTTGTTGTATAACCTGAATGCACCATAAAAATATACTGCATTCACACCGTGAAACTGATTTATGTGTCACGTATAACCAGAAGATTAAAGCTGTCTCGATTCAACACTAAACATTGATTCTAAGTGGGTTTTGAGCCTGAAGTATGTGCGCTGCTGAGTGGATACTACTGTTGCACAATGTCAGCCAAAAAGGAAAATATTAAAACGTGGTGAACAGACGACTCCCAATACCAAACAGTAAAATGCACTATGGCGATCACAGAAATACACCTGTATTTCTTCAGACTGTTTTGTTTGTTTGCTACCGTTTTCTGAATGTGAGAACAAACCTGTTTTGGTCACAATGACTGAAGCTGAGGAATTAAAGCTGTGGTTCAATTCACAGGGTACGTGTTGAATTTTTGTAAAAGTACATTAAATTTAGATTATATTATTCATTAGTGTTAGTCACTGGGTAAGTGTATCAAACTTACTTTCAGTTCAGAGAGAATAGTTCCTCCAGTACAATCAATTAAAATCTATAATTAAGCCAAAGGGTAACACTTTACAATAAGGTTACATTAATTAACCATACTTAATGCAGTAATAAGCATTAACTAATAGGTAACTAATGCATTTATTAATCATGTACTAATGTTTTTCATGTTAATTAAAGTATTACCTCATACATTATTTAATAGTTTTTAACGACACTGCTAACATTTGTTGATGCAGTAATAAGCATTAACTAAACGTTAAATAATACAATAATAAGCATTGCATTCAACAACTTAAATGTCTCTTGGTAATACTAGTAAATTGTCAATAAAGATATTAACATTTATTTCACGAAGTTCACAGCTTAGCAGTTTCATTAGGAGAAGGCTGTTTTAATGTTCATTTAAGCATAATAATTGTCCACTTACTTGTCCATCCTCCAACCAACGAATTCACTTTGTCCTCGCTCCACGTTCATCTAAGGTGGTATCTTCCAGCTTCTGATTGACTGAACACACATGATGCAGGTATGCAGCAGTGGGCAGGGCATGGATAGTTGGAAAGCATGCACGGTGGTAGCTCTCGAGGACCTGACTTGCCCACCCCTGCTGTATACTGTAAGCATTACTTACTCGTAACTACGTATTTATTAATGCTCTTTAAAAATGTATAACAGTAGTGAGTAACCATTATTTAACCTTAATTAACCATTTGTTAATGCTCTAAGAGCTACAACCCTTATTGTAAAGTGTTACCAGCCAAAAGATTAATGTAATCAATAACCCACTACAACCCTCCAAATTAATTGAAGAGATTATGAAAAATACACATTCCAAGAAAATAATATCCAAGCTATATAAACTCATATCAAATACAGATTCAGCAATAACAACAGCAAAACTCAAATGGGAAAACGATTTAACTCTCTCCCTCAGCTCAAACTTCTGGACAGAAATTTGCAATAACATCTTTTCTATGACCAGCAATGTAAACTTACAACTTATACAATACCAGACCATTTATAGGACCCATATTACACAAAATAAAATGTTCAAAATGGGTTTCACTGATACAGACATCTGCTCACAATGTACTCTAGGTTGCACTGACAGTTATTTTCATGCTACTTGGACCTGCCAAACAGTTCATTCCCTCTGGATAGCAGTGACAGAGAAACTCTCCACCATCTTGGGCTGTAGAATCCCTCCTTCTGCATCACTTTGTTTACTCATTAATATCACAGACGTTGACCACCTACCAATTAAATACAAAAACCCACTCCTCATTTCTCTGGCTATTGCCAAGAAAACAATCTTTCAAAACTGGAAATTACACATAAACCACTGGACCAACCTTCTAACAGAATACATCACATTAGAGAAAATGTCATCTACTCACAAGAATAGTTTATCAGCTTTTTATGACACATGGAACCCATTTTTAACACATTTCAACTTGAACCAAACACCTGGGGCTGAGACAACGCACATTCCCACCAACCTCTAAAAATGTAACAAGCTACTTTTGTTAGTAGTACTGTTATCATTATTATTGTTAATTATTTTTCCCTCCTTCTCCCTTTCTTGTGTTTCATAGACTGCATAAGTTGGAAACACACACACGTCAGACCCTCACACACTACAGTCCTGTAAAATACTCTACATATTTTTGCAATGTCATGTATCTGTTGTCTTGTCTCCCATGTTCGGTCCTGTTTTGTTAATGTGTTACTTTGTTTCAATAAGAAAAAAACATTATATTATTCGTTAGTGTTAGTCCCCAGGTAAGTGTATCAAACTTTAGGTCAGTGCTGTTTGTTTTAAAATGGTGCAGAATGAGGAGCAATAGCTGAGATTTGTGTAACTCTTTAAAGTTTAGGTCACTTATTAGATGTTATTAGTTCACATTTGTCAGGATTTTCATAATTCTTAGATTTGTACTTCTATCTACAATAGATTTATGAAAAATCAGTTTTACTGTAAATTACAAAAGTGAAAACTTTTGTCTGGGGCCAAATATTTTTGCTGGAGGACCAGATTTGCTATTAGCCTGTCACTGCAGCACAGAGGCACAGTGGTTAGGGCTGTCGCCTCACAGCAAGAAGGTTCCGGGTTTGATGCCGGGCCTTTCTGTGTGGAGTTTGCATGTTCTGCCTGTGCCTCGCCGGGTTCACTCTGGCTTCGTCCCAGAGTCCAAAGACTGTGGGTTTTAAAGAGACTAATCTTTTCCAATGACAGTCCTTATAATGCTATATTAATGTCCTTAAAACAATATCATGAACTAAATTTTGAATGGCTATGACAGAACAAATGCAACAATATGATATAAAGTCTATCTGAAACTCTAGATAAATAATATATTTTGACAGAATTTCTTTTACACTGATATGAGATTTAAACCACACAGCAATTTTTTGTAATCAGTGCCTCCTTTTCAGTGTCATCAGTGCCAGCTTTGCACACAACACCATATTGTACCACACTGTGGTTACAGCAGTTTGTAATTAGGACACAATTTATAAGACCTGGGTTTAGGGTTAACAGTTAATATGTCAAAGTCCATACCTTTCACAGTGATGGATACACCCATCAGGGCCTCCCGCAGAGTGCTCCTCTTTCTCCACCTCCCTTCCTCAGTGTTATACATCTCCACCATCTTTACGGGGCTCTGGTCCTCTCCCACTCCTCCCACCACCAAGATCTGCTTTCCTAGGACTGCCACAGCTGCCCCAGCACGAGGGGTAGGCATTGGGGGCAAACCTATCCACCTGTCGCCCTGCAAACAGGACCAAGCAGCTTCTTTCAGGCAAAGCATTATGCACAAATCCTCAAAGGACTCACCAACTTTCAAAATATGATATACAGTAAGTCAAATTAGTTAAGAGACAAAGTGCTTAGGTTATATTACCAAGTACTGGTCATATTATCCAGCTCACATGTGACACACTAAGTTAATAATCACAAGCATAAACCTTATTGCCAAGTATTTCAAGAACACAAGGAATTTGACTCCAGCCCAAACGGCCCCCAATGCGCACAACATAAAAACAAAATAAATACACAATATATACAAGTTAGAAAATCACAAGTTAAAAGAGCAAACATAGACTAGCTGTTCATCAGAGTGATGGCCCGGGGAAAGAAATTGTCTCTGTGCCTGGTTGCCTTGGTGCACAATGACCTCCAGAGGGGAGGAGTTCAAAGAGTTTGTGTCCAGGGTGTGAGGGGGCTGCAGAAATCCTCTCTGCACCCCTTTTGACCCATAAGGTGTACAGGTCCTCCATGGAGGGCAGGCTGGCACCCGTGATTTTCTCTGCAGTTCTGACTGTCTGCTGGAGTCTGTTCCTGTCCTGTTTGGTTACCGAGCCAAACCGAGATAGAAGTGCAGAGAACAGACTTGATGACTCCCCTGTAGAATTGAATCAGCAGCTCCTGAGGCAGGTTGAACTTCCTGAGCTGATGCAAGAAGTACACCCTCTGCTGTGCCTTTTTAATAATGGCGCTGATGTTGGTTGTCCACTTCAAGTCTCGAGAGATTGTGGAGCCCAGGAACTTGTTGGACTCCACGACTGAAACAGAGCTGCTGAGTATAGTGAGCAGAGATAGGGTGGGGGAGCTTGTCCTAAAATCCACCATCATCTTCACTGTTTTCCATGTGTTCAGCTCCAGGTTGTTATGAAAATAGCACAGGGCCAGCTGTTCGACCTCCCGTCTGTAGGCCGATTCGCATTGAATGAGGCCAATGATTGTTGTGTCGTCTGCAAACTTCAGGATTTTTACAGAAGGGTCTCCTGAGTTGCAGTCATTGGAATAAAGGGAGAACAACAGCGAGGAGAGTACACATCCCTGGGGGGCACCTGTGCAGATATGTGCTGGATGTGGTTTTCCCCAGCCTCACCTGCTGCTTCCTGTCCGTCAGAAAGTCCACTGACAGGTGGGGGCAGGCAAAGTGAGCTGGGTAAGTTTGGAGTGGAGAATGTCTGGGATGATGGGGTTAAATGCCAAAATGAAGTCGACAAATAAGATCTAAGCATAGGTCCCTGGTGAGTCAAGGTGTTGCAGGGTGTAGTGCAGTGTTGACTGATTCATCCACTGACCTGTTTGTTCAGTAAGCAAACTGCAGGGAATCCAGCCAGGGATCTATAATTTCTTTCAGGTGGGTAATGATATACAGAACAGAAACAAAATTATTTAATACTATGAAAAACTTTTAGAATTTTCAGAATTTAGAATTTCAGCTGTGGTTGCAGTACAGTCACTTTGGTACCTCCCCCACGGGAATGGGTTATGTTTTTGCCAGTGTTTGTTTGGTTGTGAACAACATAAAAAATAATGAATGGATTTGGAATTTTTAGAGAGATAGGGTATGGCCCACCAAAAAATTGATTATATTTTGGTGCTGATTCATATCATTTGAATACAGGAATATTAGTAATGATTCTTCACTACTGTAAGTGCTGGAAAGGGTGTTGGCTGTATGCGAGCCCTCTTGTGGCCAAAGCGCATCAATAGAAACCATGTGCTGTCCACCAGTAGACCCAGCTATATGAGACAGGAACTGAAGGAGTCCAGTGAGGTGACAACCCAGAGCTATGGAAAGATCTACACTATGCAGCGACAGGTGGCTGAGAGCCTGGAGGCAAAGATTTTGAGCCAGGTGCTGTTATCATCAAGTTTTGTTGCATTCTCATCTTTCATGTCATTTTCTATACCGCTTAGTCCTGAACGAGGTCGTGGGAGGGCTGGAGCCAATCCCAGCCGGCATCGGGCGAAAGGTGGGGTACACCCTGGACAGGTCGCCAGTCCATCGCAGGGCCAACATACAGACGAACAACCACACACGCACACATTCACTCCTATGGGCAATTTAGAGTCACCAATCAACCTAAGCCGTATGTCTTTGGACAGTGGGATGAAGCCAGAGGTCCCAGAGAGAACCCACACAAGCACGGGGAAAACATGCAAACTTCACACAGAAAGGTCGCAAACCGGAACCTTCTTGCTGTGAGGCAATGCCGCTACCCACCATGACACTGTGCTGCCCACCATACTGTTGCATTCTCATTTATTATAATTTCAGAATGATGTGTGTGTAGCAGATCATAGAGCATAGTGGAGCAGAGAGAGGGAGTGCTGGGTGAAGCACAGTAGGTTGATTTAGAGTTTCATGCCAATGCTACCTGTAACTTCAGGTTGTTAAAGTTGTAGCTATAAGTTTTGACATTTTTTCAGGTGACAAAGTAACCATTTAGACTGAGAATATGTGTCAGTCTATCCAGGTAATGCAAATTTAGAATTTGTTCCAACATTTTCAGAAATGTCAGTGCTCATTATCTGACCAAGCTAGCTCTATTAACAGCAGCTACATCTCATTCAGAGCACAGTTGCCTGTTGGCGAGGACGCCCGTGTTCCAGCTGCACATTATAGCTGAGTTGCTACTGTAGAAACCTAATGAGCAATACACCCAGTTCTTCCCTTAACTGTCACCTGGCATAACCTCAGTGTGTGTGAGAGGGGCCGCACTCCTCTCACACACAGTCACAGCTGGGCAGAGGGAGAGCAGATGACATGAAGGATCACTCCATAGTGCAACAATCAGCCAGTAACAGAGATGGTATGTGTAGTTTTATCAAAGAGCTGTTGAACAAGGAGAACACAAACTTGCAGAAATGTGATGTCTTCACAGCTTTGCCCGACTGAAGTCCCTGTTTTACCTCTAAACCAGTAAGTGGATGTCTGTCTTGTCTATCATTTATCTTGAATGGCTGTCAAACTATCAATGATATCAGCATCATTTCAAATGCCGGCAGTAGGTTTTCATGGTCAAGCAATCATTAATAAGGGTCAAACTGGGAATATTGCTTTTATAACATTATGGGCAAACTGAGTTTCCCTTTGGCAGAGGTCTGCAATTTCTGTACTGTCTATTCTTTTGTTTTTGAGGTGGAACTTTCTTCTTTTATTTGGTACATCTTCTTGGTACTGAGGTTTGGAAAACAAAGCTACACATGTTTGCTGTTGATTTGCCACCACAGTTATGAGCTTCCCCTTTCAATGTAATGTAACAATTCATCTGTTCACATTTAAATACATGTTAGCTTAGAATTTTTAGTTTTGACTTTTAGCATTATAAAAATTATATGCTGTCATTTAAACTTTCTTTTACAATTTTGTAGTTATGTTCTATCAAAATATTGCACTGTTAAAATAATGCACTGAAATTACTAGTAACAGAACTATGTCAGCACCATCTATTTACAATATACTTAAGAGAAATATGAAACATTCAATACAGTGTCCATGTTGCATTGCTTGATACCTCAGGGGAGTAGAGGTCCAGGCCCGGGCAAGGCCTCCCTGCAGCATCGCAGCCCCCCAGCATGTACATCTGTCCCCCCACCTCAGCCAAAGTGTGGTAGACTCGGCCGCTGGGCAGTCGTGCCAGGCTCTGCCAGTGAAACTCATAGGCTGCAGGCACCGCCATGGCCTCAGCACCAGAATGGAGACTCACTGGGAAAGGGAGGGATCTGGGAGAAAGAGGCCAAGAGTCAGTGAAGCTATGACGGTGGATTGGGAAGCTGACAAGTTGGAGGTGTGGGAGAGCTGAGTGAATGTGGAGTCAGGGCCCTAGAGTGAGGAGGAGCTTCCTTATTAGAAAGGTGAAGTGAAGGAAAACAGTGGAAGAATCAGCTCAGTTAAAGACCAAGCTGAACTCTAAGCCCCCTCGGGTCTGCTGTCACACACGACTGAATGAATTTAGCAGTGCAATATACTGCAGGATAGATCATGACAAAGTGAATCAAATTTTAAGAACTTCATTGAAGAGCTGTGTGTACATTTTGTATTGAGTTACACTAGTGTGGACATTTATTACATCCTACAAGATGTCAGCACTGAGTAACTGCAGCAAGGCATCGATGTTATAGAGTGATCACAGGAAACATCTCATCAGCAAAGTAACTACATAAGTACTTATGTACAGTTTCCAATACTTGTACTGTAGTTCAGTATCTCCAGTTTATGCTGCATCACGGAAGTATTATATTTTTACTGCACTGCAGTAGGGCTACAACAATAGAGAGTGATAATAGATTAATAAATTAGTTGATCAAAACAAAAATTAAATGGGAACTATTCTGATTACCAATTAATCATTCAACTAATTTTTTAAAGCAAAACTGTCAAACATTAAGTGGTTCCAGCTTCTCCAGTGTGAGGTTTTGGACTATTAGCTGAACAAAACAAGCAATGTGAAGATGCCACCTTGTATTCTGGGGAGTAAGTGATGGGGATTTTTTTTTTCACATTTTATAGACCATGCAGTTAATCTATTAATCCAAAAAATATTAAGTAATGAAGATAACTTAGTTATTTGACAGCTATAGTTACTGTACTTTGCTGTTTAAGACTAAAGTAAAGTAAAGTCACTTTTGGCTTTTCCCGTTTAGGGGTCACCACAGCGAATCGTCACACTGACGACTTGCATGTTGATATTTGGCATGTGTTTTACGCCGGATGCCCTTCCTGACACAACCCTGATTCAAACCCGGGGCACCGCGGCGATAGCGCTGCGCCTTAACCACTAACCTACCAGGGACGGCTGATCTATTAATCAAACAAATATTCAGTAATGAAGATAACTTAGTTATCTGACAGCTATAGTTACTGTACTTTGCTGTTTAAGACTGCCCATACAAAACACAGGATGAGCATCCCACAAGTTTGCAGTCCCCTAGATGGGCATTGATCTAAATACACACAATTCAATGATGAAATAACTATAAACTCAAGTAACAAGCATCAGATCATTCATGACTCATCTCTTTTTATAAACTGTTGCAACTTAAATTTAAAATGATCCATTCTGAGTTTGACTGATAAGAAGCCCTACATATTAATCAGAAAGTGACGCCTGTCCAAGGATTTACAGGAGAATTTATTATAAAACATGTTTAGTTTCTTAAGAGTGCTGAGAACTTATAAGCTTTTTGCACAAAATTTTAATTGCAAACTTGTTCTATCATCATAGACCTAAAGCCACCTGTGGCCACATGTTATATAGCTTTTGTTCATACATGTACATTTTCTGAATTATACACCTGTATCTTTAAACACTGAAACATTTTAAGACTGACAAAAAGAGAACGAAGAGAATGACATGCAATGAATGTCCCGAGCTGTAGTCAAGCCAGGGAAGCTGCAATTGGATGGTACATGTCCTAGACCACTAAGGCACAGAGAAAAAGATTAGATTTAGAATGCAGGCATATTTTTTTAACATAGTCACATTGTACTACCCACGCTATAAAGACAGAAAACTTCCAACACAACCACTCATCAGGTATTAATAGCACAGGCAGATGCTACCTTCTATTCTAGCAATACTTCAGTTAGAGCTCAAATCATACTAAATATCAACCAGAAGCAACTTACATATGAGGAAATGGTTATTTAGAGAACTACACACACTTCCTAAGCTATCACTCTGCTCATCCAAAGTATTGGTTTCATTCAGTCATAGGCCTGAAAATGTATAAACTCTGGAAACAAACTCTCAAGCATCATTGTTATTAAAGTCCAAAGCCAGCCAGTAGCTCGAAGAAAGCTTAGCAGACATTACTAATATCCTACGTGTATAACAACACAAAGTTCAGTCATATGGTCAGATTTGTTTTTAGAGTCTTCAAGTCTGGCAGGATTACATGAATCTTGTTCAATCATTCAATCATAATTATGGCAGGATTACATGAATCTTGTTCAATTGAATCATCCAGACTTACAGTTACATAAGTTCTGATCTTCTCACTCAGAGAACAATAATATTTGCTTATTGCACATACTGGATTTTCTTGTCATATAATGTATTGGAGTGTAAAGTGCAATGACACAAGTGCTTTCCTTTTGCAGTATGCTGATCACTGACTACAGTAACATCCACCTTTCCTTTAACACTACATCTCTTTGTCTGTGTGAAGTGTTTTTGTGAATCTAAACAACCTCCTCTTCCATGCTCTCCTCGGATGAGGAACTGAACTGATCCACTGTCTCTCTTATTTTAGTTAAGTCAGCCGCTGCTGTTGCTTTTTCCTGTATCATCCCTCGGGAGCACACTGTTTCCTGCATGTAACCCACTTCTCTTGCATACATATAGTTTCCAGCAAGGAACGGGGGAGGAAGTCTGTCACTGACATGGGAGGAAGGGTCCAAAATAACTCCATGGAGCACTGCAAACATAATTCTGAACACATCACAGACTACATCACCTTCAGTACACCATGTATCACAACCTTATCTGTCACACTGGGGGGAATAACACTAGCGATTACTGCCAGTCTGGTGTGTTCTGAGGAGGTCACAGGGAGGAGATTCAAGTGAAAATGTGACTGCTGTGAAATTACCCAGCAGAGATTCAGCAGTCTCCCAGCAGTTTTTCTTTAAAAGCTTCTTTTTAACATGTACCCTCCCACACCTCCACCCATTCCCCCTTCGCTTCCTGTCTATGCCCATCTTTCTTTACTGCCACAACCTATCTACCTGTCATACTTTTGATCATCTCACTTCGGAGGAATAAAGGACGGCGGGTGAAGATAAAGAGAACACTGTACTTCAAAATAAAATCTGCCCCATTTTGTGCCAGAAAAGGTTACCATAGCAACAGCTAGGCCTTTCCCAAGTGGTACAACTTTTTTCCCCCTTTGGCACATGATTGCTTATCACTTGGTTTGTGGTTAATAATCTTTTATGAAAAAGGATGAAAAACAAATAAAAGTGGTTGCTCTCCTATAGGCTGACCCCGTCAGGCATGCGCTTGCTAACGAGACAGGGTAGGTTTCTCCCGACCCAACTCGCAGAGTTCATTAATTGCAATCTGTAACCGATTTGGTTCGCCACATCATTTTTTTTAATTAACTGCATGAACAGCTTGAGATCAACAGTAAACCCACCAGCATCATCTAAAGTCATTTACAATCAGCATGCCTCCAGCTTGAAACTTTTAATTAGGTTGCATAGTTATTCTCCCTCTGTGCATGGACCATCTCTAAATGTAAAGTCATGGAAAACTCCATTCGAAAAACGATGCATAACAAAGCACATGTTAATTTCATATCATGTCTTAGCATTGATTAGTGTCTTATCAACCTTTCATCCAAGTCTGAATGACAATAAACACCATTTATGATAAACAGGGTGTAGTGGAGGAGGAACATCTGAGCGCAGTCTGTTGGTTCTTCTGCTCATGGACCTTAGACACATGAATATGCAAATTGCATGACTACAAAAATTAACCTGCAGCCAAGACACAAATCCAGCCAGTAATAATATTTAGTACAACAAATGTGAAATGAAAAAAAAAATATCTCTGGTGGTGTGGTATTAATTTGTAACTGCATTTTTAAATGGTCCTTTTTGCGTTTGATAATTATTATCGAAGTGTGATACTAATTTGGAGGGGTACACTGTTAATGAACAAACACATGAGCATTACATCTTAGTTAAAAATGCAAAAACTTGGATGTTGCTGTTCAGGTGGTAGCCTGAACCAGAGATTGAAAAGCATGAATGAAGCTGCTGTTGCCAGCCAGCAATGTCTGTGCTCTGTGTGGACAAATATTATTCTTAATACTGGATTAGACTGGACAGCACAGATGGAGACTTTGCTGCCATTTTGACAGTTTGTGGATGCCACATGGGAGATACAGTATTCACCAAATCTTACTAGTAATTATATTCACAGTAAAAATGTTTTTTTCTTACTTGGTTGTTTACCATGAAATATCAGACTTTAATATTCATTAATATTATTAAACTGTGCAAACCATCCCATGTTATGAATAAACACAAACAGGTAGAAACAGGATTGCAGAAGAACAGGGTTTTTCAACTCTGTGGCCCCCTGGTGGTCTGCAAGGCATAGCAGGGGGTCCCTGACCAGGCATTCAATAATGTAATTTCACTGTAGGTTATTACTATTTTTATTTATTGATTTTTACACACACAACCATGTATTAATACAAAGTCAGAAGAAAGTAAAGAAAATAATAATAATCACTGCCTGAAGTGCTGCAGTGTGTGTCACTGAGCTGCTTGTTTGTTAATACGTTCAATGGTCCTATGCTAACGTCAGTCTGTTGGTGATGGGCTATGAAGTTCTCACACAGTTCTCCACACTTCTTTCAAAGCACATTATCAAGTAATTAATACACACAAATGAATTCCTTGTCTGAAGATGAACTAATGTTACAACCATAAATGTACAACACAATTCTAGTATGTGAGCTCCATTGTTTTCCAAAAACTATTAAAAACACCCCAGTGAGCCACACTGCTGCACTGGGTGACATGTTTTTATCTCTCAAAATATATGGAGTATATTTTATCCAAAGGATAAGAGCAGCCATTGCTTTTTTACAGTCTCTTGGGTAAGAAAGAGTCAACTTCTTGGGTAAGAAAGAGTCAACTGTGCATGCTTGTGTTCTTTGATGTTTACACCATGTGTTGTTACTGTATGTGTAGCACGAAAAGCTAT